AAACACCCTCCCAAACACACACACCCAACACACACCCCCCAAACACACACACCCAACACACACACCCTAAACACCCTCCCAAACACACACACATCCAACACACACATACCCCCTAAACATCCTCCAAACACACACATACCCCAAACACCCTCCCAAACACACACACCCAACACACACCTACCCCGTAAACACCCTCCCAAACACACACACCTAACACACACCTACCCCGTAAACACCCTCCCAAACACACACACCTAACACACACCTACCCCGTAAACACCCTCCCAAACACACACACCTAACACACACCTACCCCGTAAACACCCTCCCAAACACACACACCTAACACACACCTACCCCGTAAACACCCTCCCAAACACACACACCTAACACACACCTACCCCGTAAACACCCTCCCAAACACACACACCTAACACACACCTACCCCGTAAACACCCTCCCAAACACACACACATCCAAACACACATACCCCCTAAACACCCTCCAAACACACACACTCTAACGTAAACACCCTCCCAAACACACACACCTAACACACACCTACCCCGTAAACACCCTCCCAAACACACACACCTAACACACACCTACCCCGTAAACACCCTCCCAAACACACACACATCCAACACACACATACCCCCTAAACATCCTCCAAACACACACATACCCCAAACACCCTCCCAAACACACACACCCAACACACACCTACCCCGTAAACACCCTCCCAAACACACACACACACCCTAAACACTCTCCCAAACACACACACCCAACACACACATACCCCAAACACCCCCACCAAATATACACACTCCAAACACAGACATGTCCTCAGATACATAGGTACCCACAAACACACACACATACCCCAAACATACATATATCCTCAGACACACACACACCCTACACATAAACACACACATAGTCCCAAACATACAGCCTCCCAAACATACACACCCCAAACACACACATATTCCTCCCCACACACCCTAAATACACACCCCCCCAAACACATACACCCAAACACACACACACACACCAAACACACACATACTCCCACATTCTAAACACACACACACACTCATCCCCCAAACGCACACATACTCCAAACATACACACACCCCACTACAGCCTAAACACATAGTTACCCCTCACACACAAACACACACATACCGCAAACACACATACCCCCAAACACACACATATCCCCCACATTGCAAACACACCCATACCCGCAAACACACGCATGCTTCCTCGCCCCAAACACATACATACTTCCCACACATAGCCTCAAACACACACATACCCCCATGCCTCTCACAATCACTCTCACAACCCCCAGCCCAACCCCAATCACACCCCTAGCGTCCTCCCCATACACCTGCACAGCTCACACACACCTCCTTTCACTCACAAGCACACACAACTCCCAGCCCCTGACCATCCCCAATCATACCCTCAGCCCCCATGAAAACCCTGCACACCTCACACACACCTCCTCTCTCACACACAAATGCCCACACTCACTACGCACAGCTCCCTCCCATACCCCAGCTCCCCTATACACACAGACACACACACACCCTTCTGACAGACGGACAGACACACAAACAGCTCTCCAGCCCCAGCCAGCCCTGTTCCCAGGGGGCTGAGAGGCACTCAGTCTGTGCTCAGAAGGGTGGGCTGGTGGCAGGGCTGGCTACACCTGAAGTGCCAAACAAGGGAGGTCATTGCGCACCCAAGAAGGAAGCTCGCCCGTTCATCCTTGGCCCCCGGGGGCAGAGGGAAGGCAGGGAAATGTGCTACAAGGGTCCAATCCTGCACCACCTGTGCACCCCGAATTCGCTGTGACTGTACCAGCTTGGTTGGACAAGAAATGGGTAACACACACAGACCCTTGGGACCCTGAATGGGTCCATCTCCAAGGCTCTGAATCCTCCGTCTAGGGGTGTTGAACCAAATGGTACCCCCGAATCGGACCCGGCAACTCACCACCTCTCTGCTCGCCCCAGCAGATTCCAGTCCAAGCTGGCTCCAGGCAGGGCTGGGGATGGAAGAGAGATGCCCACGCAACAGGTTCCCCCTTGGCTGCCCCGCCGAGGGGGCAATATTGACCTGTTGGCCCTGTCACTAGCACAGAGCCGAACCAAGGCAGTGCTGTGCAGTTTGCCTGGGCGAAAACCCTACCTGGGCCCATCTCAGCCAGAGCTGGGGAAGCGCATGTGAAAGTCTCCCAGGGGATAATTATCCCCTGAACAATCCCAGCCCCCGGAGTGTGAGCAAATCCAGAAACACTTGCCAACCCCTGTGCCCTCCCAGACCCCGGCACAAAGGTGTCCTTGGTCCCGGCTCTGGAGGGCCAAACACGAGAAACCTGCTTCCTCAGAGCCTGTGCTGAGCGGCCAGGCTGAATGCCACCCTCCCGCCCTGCAGGGGTGCACCCCAGGCCCGGCTTCAGCAAAGGCACCCCTGAGAGGCAGGGAGAGGGGTTGGAAAGTGGGGGGGGGTGCCTTACCGCTGCTGCTGGTGGTGGGGATGTTGCGCCTCATCCACTCATAAGGGGTGCGCCTTTGCGCATTGGGGGAGAGCTGGGGCACTGAGTTGCTGATGGGTGGAGGCAGGAGTCCGGAGCCTGGTGGCTGAATCGGATTAAAATCCGAGGGGCTGAATCCAAGCTGCCCTGGGTTAGCGGTGGAAGGCGCGGCGGGCGGCCCGTACGAATGCCAGTCCTCCTTGGCAGGGGTGTATGGCGAGCCCCAAGCACCCGCAGGCTGCCCATGGTGCGGGTCGCTGTTAATCCCTGGCACGTGGTGGTAGCTT